ACTAGTATAACCATTATGAATAGAGAGCCATCTCCATCAATAAGTCCAGCTAACCATTCATTCCATTTTTTTTTCATCATTTTGAATTGTGCTGCGCGTCATATAATTTAATTTCAAGTTGAGTTTATAAGTCAGCGGGCGTATGGCCTCTGAGGTTCCTACTAGCTTGCTATGAGCGTTTGTTACCTGCTGATTGCCGAATAAAAAGTTCATTTTTACCTCTTCGAGCCATGTTTGGCTAACCAAGCACTGAGCCTATGATATAAAATTAAACAAAAAGCTTTGCTTTTACTGGCTTTTTGTTCTAGATAGACTAGTATTGCAAAGGTAGAACTTTTGTCAAGCTTCGGTTTCCAGCTTATAGCCCGCTCCAAACTTTGATTTACATCAAAGAAGGGCCTTAGAATAGAATATATTCTAATATATTTGACCAAAGAACCCATAACCTAAAATCTTACGTACTCAATTTAAGACCCCTTCCAATAGAATTGGATTGTGTTAAGCCCCCTTCGAATTAATTCTATTGGATTGTGAAACATTTGGATAACTCACTTTAGTTAAGCGAGGCTCTCATCGGCTGGTTCTGCGATGAAAAACGAGCCTCTATCGAGCGCGAGTCCTCCCGTGAGGCTCGAAGAGAGACGAAAAGTATTTATTCCAAAGCGAAAAGAAAGCCGCTTCTTCTTGAACCAACCGCAGCAGAACTTTGCAAGCGTCCTTCTGAGAAAAAATAAGAATAGAAGTATTTTGTTCCAAATGTTCTAGGTTACCGACTAAACATCAAGCAGCCTTTTCGGCCACCCATTTCTGACCTAGTCTGTCGCGAACTCCATAATGAAAATGAAAGCCCGACGGTCTTCTCTAATTCTATCACTAGAAGGAGATGAGTTGACCGTTTTCAGAAATGTCGCCCTTCCGTGGAAGCCGAAGGCAGCGCAAGCTTTTTGAAGTGCTTCGCAAGAAAAAGAAAGCTTCGCTTTGTCCGCTAACACGCCACTTCGTACACGAAGTGTTTTGCTTCACTGGAACCTATCCCCGTCGGGATTAGCAGGCATAGCCTGGGACTAGGAGACTGGTATCATTGAGCTTCTTTTCTTCTGCATGCACAAGCAGGCTCGAAGAATTAGCACAAGTATTGATTTCTAAATAAAGTTTTTGATTTGTAATATTCTGTCTTCCAAAAGAAAGGAATGGCCGTGGTCGTAGCCGTGTTTATGCACCTACTTTATTTAGTCCAAAGAAAGATGTTTGCAATGGATCTTTCTTAACCCCTCCTGTTTTTCCTACAATTAGCTACCTTTTATTTGGTCTTTCGAGTTATAGAATTAATATGTTGACACTTAGTGATCAATTCTTTGCGTCTTTCTGGGTTTAAATGCAAACCTTGTTCTATACTGCCATTCACTTCCTTAAAAGCTAAATAACTATCTTTTTTACTAGTTAAAAAATGGGACAAATTGTTATCAAAATAAGGCCATAGGTGTTGGACAGACTTCAGTCCTGATACAATAAAAGAGTAATTATCTTTAGTAGAATGGCCTTCTATTTTACCAGCCTGAAACAAAAGAGTAAAATGACTTAGAATAGGTAAATTAACATCTCCTTTTTGAGATAAAATAAACCTTGTTCTAAAAGCTTTAGAGTTACTTAATAAGCTTATAGTGAAACAACCTTCTGCTTCTGTGAAACCTAATAACCATTGATTATCCAAAGAAGGCAAGATGTTGGACCGCTTATATTGGATTGGACCTTCTAATAAGACGGTGGTGCACAGCATATTGGTGCGCAGGAGTTGATCCACCGCAGTACACCTCTGGGAGCCTTGTGGGGCTTGTGTCGCGCAATTTCGTTTTGTCTTCTTTTCATTAAAAGCAATTAAAAATTTATAAAATTGAATTTTGCGCGAAGGTAAGATTAAATTCCCATTAAAAAGTAATATTAACAATTCTATATCTTCTCTTTTATGTACAATGAATCTATAAACTCTTTGACCTTGTTTTAAAACATTTCCCATATGCAAGGTTCTTTGAATAAAATACAAGACCTCGATATTCTTCGAGCCTTGTGTTAATATGAATGACAGTTCTCGACGATTATTCACGCTAAAGCACCCGTCACCTTCAGTAAATCCTATGAACCAGGATAAAAAAGTGTCGTTGGGAGCCTCACCGCCCAACTCAACGGACCATTGAGCTTTAAAAGGTAGAAAATTGAAACTTAAAAAAAGGTGCTGATATAAAAGAGGATCTCCTCCACCAGCAGGATCAAAAAATGTAGTATTGAAATTTCGATCCGTTAAAAGCATAGTAATTGCCTGTTTCTTACTCTTTTTGCTAAAAATACGCTGACACGTCAACTCTAACGAGCCTTGCGACAACCTCGAAGAGTGCGCGCCTGCGAGCCTCTTTGTTTTTTCTCTTCGATTTTAGTGCTTTATCGCGTAGCGATGAAGGCGCGCAGCGCGGGCCTCGGGACACCATTTCGATTCTGCGCACCATCATGCGCGAACGCTACAATTTTTCGATGTCAAAAAGATTAGCAATTAGAGATTCTTTAACTCGCGTAAAAGACGGGACTATATCTTATTCAAATTATTCAAATTATTCAAATTATTCAAATTATTCAAATTATCCCAGTGAAAATATGTATAAGAAGTCTTTCTTATGAAAAGCAATTTGAATAGAAGGACACATAAATCTGCCTTCGGTATCCCTTTTCCCTGGGAACTCGGGCACTCTAATGGATCCATCGCCTTTTATTAAGCCAGCTAAATAAGCCCCTAGAAATTCACTGCGATCAAAATGTGTATTAGTCATAAATTTTACAATAATTTGATTTTTGAATTTCGGCATGTAGTCTCTGAGGTTCAAAGAATTTGAAAAACAAGGTATGGTCAGCTTCTTAATTTGTTAGCTTCGCACCACAGTTGCTTCGCAACCTGCTGATTGACTTAATTTGTTTATAACAAGTATTAAGTTATCCCAGCATATAGCCGAATTTAGAGCTGGCACAATTACAAAGCTGTAAGAGTAAATGTTTACTTACACTTCGCATAAAGGGCACCAGCAAATACAGGTAGTGATAATAACAACAAAAATGCAGTCACTAGCACAGACCATACAAAAAGTGGTAATCTATGCATAGTCATTCCGGGACCACGCATGTTAAAAATAGTGGTGATAAAATTAATAGCACCTAAAATAGAAGAGATCCCTGATAGGTGAAGACTGAATATAGCTAAATCTACGGAACCACCTGAATGACTTGTAATGGCACTTAATGGAGGATAACAATTTTTAAAGCAAGCATTGCTGCGTACCACTACTAATTGACTAGTAAAGCTCGCGAAGCGGGCACGAAGTGCATAAGCACGCGCGTTAGCGTGTTGCGCTTTGCGCACAAGCTATCGCGCAGCGGGGACAGCGTAATACAGCTGCCATGAGTTATGCTTACTCCCGCACATTACTGCGCGGTTCGGACTATACCATAATCTACGAAGTGAGCAATTAGTTGGCTCGAAGAGACTTATGACGGATTTTTAGTTTGCGCATTCTGAATTTTCTCTAGCCGTTCTGCTATCTTGGCGCGTTTTTGAAACGGTGTGCACACAGGTTCAAAGTACGCACGACACGATGCTGCTTGCAGGCACGCAGTGGCGCGTTAGCAGTGTTGCGACCTATAAATAGCGAACCGCTTCTCGATAGAGAACTTTGGTAATACAAAGCCCGCGACCATAATTTATACTCAAGTTCTTACGAACCTCGAAACTTGCCTCGAACAAAATCATTAATGCACCACAAAGCTTTTAAATTGCTAATTTCAAGATGCCAAGACTCAGTTGATGGACACCATTAAACTTTGCTTTTAATAGAAAAGCGCTTGCCTACGGCCCTCTAGTACGGGCTTATCTTTTTTTTTGTGTAATAGCGAAAGCACAAGTGAAGCGATCTTCATCTTTTTTAGTAATGAAGAATGAGCCTTCTACTTCCATAAATCCAATGATCCAGTGATCATTCAGTAGTAAATCGGTATTGTGCAACCATTCATAAGACCGCTTCGCGCTACTCTGCGAGCCTACTAAAGCAGTATCTGGAAGTTGCATACTTCTTAAGAGTGCTAGGTAATCCCTTTTTTGCTCAGTAGTTAAGTTTGCATCCAGCATCGCTAATGTAGCTAACTTGAGTTTATAAGCATGAAAACGCTTAAAAGTTTGCAATGGTACAGAGCAGTAAGATTTGCCATAGGTTGCTTGCAAGATGTTTGGCATTTCGTATTCGATAGACAGCCATGTGTTTTGAAATAGATATAGATCTGACGCCTATATTTTGTTTGATAAAAGCAAGCACTCTGATAAACTAAACAGAATTGGCTAATAGAAAAATTCAAATGAAATTTCTCATTAGACTTAACAATACTAAAGCATCCGTCTCCATCAGTAAATCCAACTAACCAATCGGCAAAATGTAGATTTCTCGCGTGTAGTCTCTGATGGCCAACAGAAATAGAGATGTCTGCAGTTGACCAGGCGAATTGTCCCTTTTGAATCTTATTCAGAGAAAAGATTTTTGCATGTGATCTAAAAAAAACAAATGTGTCTTTCTTTGAATCATGTTCATCAAATTCATTTATTTGCGACCCGAGCACTTTTCTCATTGGAGATTTTCGCATCGAGCGAGATGTTCATACTCAGGTTACCCTGAGTAGCGGCCTATCCATTTGACCGTCCATCCTGTACCAGCTCCTACTTCAACTAGAGCCGAGCTTAGAAGAAGTAATAATGAAGGAGGTAGTAGCCAAAAACTAATATTATTCAAACGTGGGAAAGCCATCAAATTTATTACCCTGAAATCATTTAAATTTCAGTTCTTACTATCACTAGTAAGTTTAGACTATGTCTTCTGATCTAAAAAGATCAGTCGGGCACTCGTGGAAGGTTTATTGTTAGCACTACTCACCTCCTAGTCGTTGAACGGTCTTAATCCTATAATAAAATAAATCTTACACACTTCGCTATATACGAAGCGGTTTCCAGCAGCACGTTCTGCCTTATTTTGAATTATAAAACTCGCGAAAGAATTCACCGAGGCATCTTTAGAGAAGAGAACGTGTCCTTCGGAAGATTTCGGCCCGGGGATCTCTCTCGAGAATGTGCTGAATTAAGCTTCGCTGCAAGTTGTCTTATTGAATTCGCCCTAATAGAATAGAAGAGTTCCTTGCAATTAACCCGATTTTTACTTCAACGGTTACCCGTTAAAGGGACTAATATGACTCAAATCAAATAGGGTTCGTCTTTTCTTCATCTTAGATTTCATATTGATTGAATATTTCGAATTTACCGGATTCTGTCAAATGCTTATTAGCTTTGACTAAATAAAAACCCTTTAGCCAATCATTATAGTTATTGAATTTACTTGTTAATAATGGATATCTTTCTAAATAATCTACTAATTTCTGTAATTTACTTAAACTACAAACTTCGACAATCCAATAACTTTTATCATTATGACGTGATACTCTTAAATTCACCGATAGATAATAAGCAATCGATTTCATCACAGCCATACATATATGATTCTTGATTTTTTAGATGAATTTGAAGTTGCATAAATGCGACCCTTACTTCAAAGCCAGCTAACCAATAATTAGCTGACAACGAAGAGCCATCAATGCTTTGGCTTTGTATGCCGCCCATTGAATTTCTCATTTAAATACGATATTAACAGCTTAAATTCATAGATTTTTGGTGTTATTAAAGATCCATTTATTAATTTTATTCAATAAATCCGATTTTTTACTTATTGTCCACACAATAGCTTTTTCTTTAGTTTTAAATCCTTTAACAAGCCTCCATATTTATTTACTAATCTATCCACTAAAGGTAAATCTTTTTCAAAAAAAAGTGATAGCTAAACAAGGTTGGCTTTAGGCAACTTACCCAGATCATTTGAGGTAAAACAATATGCCCATAACCTTTCCATAAGCCTGCTAAATAGCTTCTTATTTTTGAATGATTTAATTTGTCAATCATATTTTTAGAAAATTTATTCGAACCCTAAAGAATTGTGATTGTGAGTTTTGCGTTTAATCCGGGGCCCCTATCAAAATAGGCACGAACCAATTCAATTTGTTCAGATATTTTCATATCTGATTGGACTGTATCTTCATCCAGAAGCAGGGGTTTCCCACTGCGCGCCTGGATGCATCACGTGTAGTCTCTGAGGAGCCTACTCAAGACCAAGTGCATAGGGCGCCGAAGGCGCGCATTGAAAGAAACCGGAATGAACGCCGATTTTTGAAGTTCTTCCACCGCTGGTGCGCCACCCCGTTTTTGCGCGGCTGGTTTTGCTTGTGCGCAAGTCGCTTGTTGGGCGTAAGCAACACCGCTCCCGGGTTTCGCGCCTTGTGTGCATTGCATCCGCTGACGCAACGGGCCCGCAAAGCGGGCCCGCTCTAAAGGCTCAAAGAGCGGCACTTTAAAGTCTTTTTGGTTTCCTGCGGGTTGTCCATTTGCTGCGCAGCTCATCTACGAACAGCTCTTAAATCACAAATTATAACATAAAATAGTCCACTCTGAGAGCTTGCTCCGCTATGCTTTGCCTCGTTTGAGATAACAGTACACTGCAATAAGCCTACGCTTCGCGCAAAATACCGCTGCCCGCTTTATGCGCTTTCTTGGCTGGCGCACCAGAATTCTTCTATTTTAGTATTGTGATTTTTAGGAGATTCCCGAAAATAGTGATGTTATTCTAAAAAAACTTACGTCTTTTCACGGCAATTGGACTATAGATAGCCGATAGTATCATTTTTGCTTTGCTTTTAAAGCGCTCTCAAACAAGCCTAAATGGTCGCAATTAATACTTTTTCTATTATTGTTCATAAGGGATTTTCATGCCATACATTCCGAAATTCTTTGTGAAGAAAGCGGTGCCCAACGGGGTTGGCCATAATTTGACACCAGGCAAAGTAATCATTATTTTTACTAGACAATAACGGAAGGCGGTTAAAATAATTTCGAACCAAGCTTTTTGATTTGAGGCCACTGCAATAAAATATACATACCACAAAGACTCTTTCAACACGCGCGCAATAGACATTGGTATTTACTTCAGATGCTATTATTGAAATAATATCTAAATATGTACTGCCCTATCCTGTGCTCAAATTTTTGCGGTGAGACTCGAAACAAGAGTCTAAACTGAGATTGCACTCTAATACTGCTACTGTCTTTGCGCTCATTGATAATAACATAAAAGTTTCCATCAGCATCCGTAAATCCAGCTAGCCAGGCATTTTCGAAGACTGGAGATAAGTCTAATCCGTGTTTGACTAATTTATCTGTCTTGCTCTGCTTAGTTGTTTTCGAATTTAACCAGTCTACCAGTCTGTGGTTTGCTTCCAGCTCAGGTGTTCTAAACTTTTATTAGACTTACCAGAAGTGTACCCCCTGAGTTGTTCCTACGTAAAGCACCACATGGAAGATCTTTGATATTCAATACAATCCTTATTCGCGATTTTTTTTTGTGCTTGAGCGCGAACTCAGGTACACAAATAGAGCCATCCCCGTATATTAACCCAGCCAGATATGAATCTAAGTAGTTTTTTAACTCTACCGTGCGGTCTGCTACTTCTTTGAGGTTGCAGTAGGCTCGAAGAGTGGAAAGCAGGAAAAGCGAAGGTTGCCTTGCAAGCAGCGGGAAAAGCGTGGTTTGCAAAAAACTGCCCAAGCGGTGAACCTTGCCTAACTCTAAACAAAGCAGAAGTAGAAAAACAAAGACTTTCTGGGTGTTTCAGGCATTGGATATTAGTTGTATAATATTGCATAATTTACTTTGAATTCATGACCTAAAGGTGCCTTACTCTGCAACCAAAGGCGCGACCAACGGGAGGGCAAATTTTGCATTTCTTTGCCCACTTTGTGCCCATAGGCTCGCAGAGAGGTTTGAAAAACGAAGAGTCGTGGAAAGCGCATAAGTGCACAGCAACTTGAAACAATTTCAAGCAAAGCAAAAGTGATTCCCTCTAACGAAGTATAGTACTAAGTTCACCAAAACCGCCGATTAAAGCCGGCATAACCATAAAGAATATCATTAAAAAGCCATGAGCTGTAATTAACACATTGTATAACTGGTGATTTCCAGCAAGAACTTGATTACCTGGTTGTGCTAATTCCATACGAATTAATACTGACATACAAGCACCCATTACTCCAGCAATAGCTCCGAAGATTAAATAGTTAGTACCTATGTCTTTATGATTAGTTGAAAAAATCCATCTTTGTGCAAAATTATTCATATTCCGAATAACTTCTATTATTTTAATAAATGCTCTGTTGATATACCATAAAAATCATTTATTTTTCATTTTGTTCTTAGACAGGAATGCCAGCTCCCTTTAGGGCAGCAAAGCTGCCGCTAAAGCGCTGCCTTCTAGGTTACCTAGAAACAACAAAAAAAACAAAAAGAACTCTATTCTATTCTACCGGCTTAGGGCCAGATTTTATGAAACTTTCTCCTATTTTCGCGAATCCATGAAGGACACCCGCAGCTACCGCTTGCTCAATCAATCCTTTTAGTCAAAGGAAGGCCAACTTTTTTTCTTGCTTGACGACGACAGTCAAAAACTTCCTCCTTCGTATTCTTCCAGTTAGAAGTCGTCTGCTCTCTTTTATGAAGCTCATCAAATGTTTGATTCACTTTATAATCGGTATGACTTTGTTCAAACGCGCGATAGAAAGGATAAGTTAAAGATACAAGTAAATGAGCGGGGAGGTTTTTGAAAATTGTGTTACCACAAAATGAAAATTCTCGCATAAATTCCGATCCAAAGGTTTTCTTTAGTTTTTCATAAAACATTGGAGTATGCTTGCAGAGGAAGTAGAATACGTACCCTTCTAATAGAAAGAGATAATAAACAATTAAAAGCCAAGGGGAACCTCTTTCTGCCAATCCATATACAAAGAAAAGGGCCAGTGAAAAAAGAATGCGCCCGACAGAATTATTAATAAGAAAAGAGTACAAGAGAGAATAGCAGATAAATTGTGCCTTAAAACTAAGAAGCTGAAATTGCCAACTTCAAAGCAACGCTACGCGCCTTAATGGGTTAGTCCAAAAGAGCGTAGAAGCAGATTTGATACCTAAATAAAAATCTTTAAGTATATAAAATATCGTGTCTTCTAGAAGTTTGAACTTTAATTTAATACTATCTATTGTATTATGTTGCACACTCTTTGGATTTTTTTTGCAATTACTTTGCTTCACACCATTGGTCTGTGTGTTCGCTTGCTTCGCAAATTCCTGGCGGTCCGCAAGGTCTCCTTGGAGACTTGCTTTATTATACGCGCTGGTTCGCTAGAGCGAGCAAGCTTTCTTTAAAGCGATGCGCAGTGCGAACCAGCATAATTATTGAGCGCTTAATAATGCCCGCCAAGCGTGCCGTAAGCAAAGCTTGCGAAAGAAAGCGAGCTACAGCGCGAATGCCCCTGTCAGGTTCCGTAGGTTCGTCAGAATGAGCAAGCTTTGCTTGCGAAACAAAACGAGCGTAAGCGAAGCACCCCACGCGAACTGGCAAAACAAGCGACGGAAACTTGCTTTGACAGCGGCCTAATCTAATAATGTCGCTTGCTCGCTCTGACGAAGCTTCCTTCGGAACCAAGAACTTTAACCAGTGAATTATCATCATTACTTTATAACAAAAGAAAATTCTAAGGAACCGCACGCGCTACTTCACGACCCCTTAAGGGGTCGTGAAGTAGCGCTATTATCAAACACATCTTACGATGTGTTCTTAGTGCTCATAAGTTTTTTTTATTGTTTGGATGAGCACTCCATTTTTAATAAAGCAATACTTTGTTTAACTAGTTTTGATTGATGCTTACGTAATTTAGAAAAACGAAATTCATCACAAACGGTTTCTCGAAAACAATTTACTATTTTCTTTTGAAATTTGATACGAGAATACTCTTGAACAGATAATAATGTTTTTAATTTTTGTTCATACTGTTGAGACAAAACAGCTTGAACTCTTTGTTTACACTTATGTGCGTTAACGCGTGTAATCATATCATGAATACAGGACTCTCCAATCATCTGTGTACTGGAGCGTAAGCTTACACTACGTAATTCATGCTCTTTCATTAACTCAGACAGAATATCTTCCTGAGAAGTCATAAATTCCTGTAAATCTGAAAGTATACCAGCCTGTCTTTCATCAAAGGTAGCTAAGATTGCATCCCCAAAAGCTCTTTGCGTAAAGATAACAAAACCGATAAAACTTAATGCTACAATAATCTCTTCGTTAAAAATGAAGATGTTTTTCGAGCTAAATACACTCAAAACTAAGATAGCTATAAAAGCAAATTCACGCATCATGATTTTTTCTTTTTTTTTGTTTTGATATTACTTAAAAGACATCTTTGTACTCGTAAGATGTAAATTTCATTCAAGCCCTTAAGACTATCTTTGGGTCCTGAATACAAAGTAATAGGAGCACTTGCTTCCAAAGCAGTGTCCTTAATCGCTTGAGAGACACTGATTTCACCTAAAGAACAAAGATAGGACTTATTCATAGGTTTCAATTGATTAGCATTTAAACTATTAATCATTGCACTACACCATTTCGATGCTCCAGAAACTGACGAATACAAATAAGAAAGACTACTTTTCAAAGCTGCTTGCAGAACAACGTCCGCCAGGGCTACATCTTGCTTACTTAATGAAGTCTCTCCACTTTGTTGCGACATTAAATGTGATCGTAGTTTAAGGATTCTACTAATTTTAGGTAATCCATCATTATATAATAAAATATAAAAAGTCATATAAAAAATACATAACCAAACAAATTGTGTAAAATAGGTAAATTGATCTAATTGAGGCATTTTTTGACTTCTTTGTTTTAGTTTACTACCATTAACTTCCAACTAGCTTTCTTTAAATGCTTCGCACATACATAAGTTTTACTTGGTTTTTCTCCGCTTCGCGTGTGTCGCAAGCAAAGCTTGCTTTTGTCTTTCGCGCATGCACATAACATAAATAGAAAGAATGTGCAGGCGCAACTTCTTGTATTTCGCGCATAATAATCCAAGCAAGTATGTTTCGCACAGTTTAAAGCAACTTTGTCTTTCGCGCGCGGCTTTGCAATGCATGCAACGCTACGCGCCTTCGTTCGAAGAACTTCGCTTGTTATAACATAACAGGTTGTAGCTCCTTCGCGAGCTTCGCTCGCTCGCACACTTCGCGTCCTTCGCTTGCTTTTTTCTTCGCAAGCTCGCACACTTCGTGGGTTTGCTTCGCTTGCGCTCGTCCAACCGTGGTTTGCTTCGCTTGCGCTCGCACCGAAGGCGCCATCGCTTGCTTTTTTCTTCGCTCGCTCGTCCTTACGGACCTTCGCAAGCTTGCTCGGGTATTTTGCTTGCGTAGCAAGAACCTAAAGGCGCGAAGCGCATGCTTTGCTTCGCGACCTTCGGTGCGCGAAGCGTGCGAGCTTGCATTGCAAGCGATGGCGCAAAGCGTGCGAGCGCAAGCGAACCACGTAAGGACGAGCGAGCGACATTTAATTTGCGCGAAGGCGCCTTCGCAAGAACCTAAAGGTGCCTTACGGGGGATGCTTCGCTGCGCTCGGATCGGACCGAAGGCGGGCATTCTTAGGCGCGCATACTATGCAAGCTCGCACGCTTATCGCTTGCTTTTTTGATTTACAAGCGGTGTCTCCAAGGAGCGCATAAGAATGCGCCCTAAAGGCGCCTTCGCTTGCAAGCTCGCACGCTTCGCGACCTTCAGTGCGAGCGTAAGCTTTGCAAATAGAACGCAAGCAAAGCAAGCTCGCACGCTTCGCGACCTTCAGTGCGAGCGTAAGCATAGGTGCAGAAAGCGAAGCTTTTTCTTGTAGGTGAGAAAACGAGCGTAAGCGAACGCTTTGCGCCTTTAGTTCCCTAAACGGAGACTAAAGCGTTCCTAAGAACGCAACGCAAGCAAAGCTTGCGAAACAAACAAGTTGTAGGGCTTAGGCGCAAAGCGCCTAAGCTAAGAACGACAAGCAAAGCAAGCTTTGCAAGCGAAGACAGCCTACGGAAATTCATTCTTTTTTATGCGGACATGAAAATGCGGACATGAAAACTTCGGACATTTATAGTTTATACATTCTTTAATTTCTTTGTAAAGATTAACTTTTTAAAGAAAGACGCTTTTCTACGTATTTTTTTGTTAGCTATTTTACTTGTTTTTTGTGTTCTCCGTAGACTATTCATACTTCTGCGGTGCGAAGCACCTTGGCGATGCCAAAACGAAGCTTTAGAAGATTGCAATTTATCACGGATTCTTTCATGGCGAGGCCATAACTCTTTCACTACAATATTACCAATTTTGGGATTCATACTAAGAATCGAAAAGGTCCTCCATTGACTGTGATATACCTTTCTTTCTACACGTAAACTCTTAGGAAGAAAAGCAATGTGACCTGCTATTGCTACAGCATAACCTCCATTTACCGAATTCAAAATAAAGCCCCTTATACGATTTTTCTGTGCATTAGACCAAAATTTAGTAAGTTCAGTCCAAACGTTTTTACGTTTACAGATCTTTTGCAATGATTTAGGATAAAGTAAATTAGGTTCACCACTGGCAGACTCTACATCTTCAATTCCAATAACACAGCTTCTAGTTTTCGTGTTTGCCTTTAGAAATTTAGAAGAAGCTTTTAATTCACTTTGAAAACAAACAGATGCCCCAGCAAGACCTGTATCTATAACAACTAGATCTCCGCGTGTTTGAGAAAGCGAAGATTCTAAAACATTTCCTTGTAATTGATTTAAACTTGAGTTGGACTTTTTAAATAATTCTTCAAAATTCATAAGTTTTTTTATTGATGATTTTTATGATTTATTTTGGTTCAAAATAGAACGTTATTTTATATAAGCTTGATTCTTTAAAAAGCATTTTTTTTATGTACATGTACATAAAAAAAATGCTGCGCATCTACTTTTACTTTTTTCAAGAAAAAATATAGGCCTGCTATTATATATATATTAAGAGACGCAAGCTCGCGGTATGCTTCGAAAGCACGTCTCTAATCTCAAGAGACCTAAAGGTTTGTAAAAACGCGCTTCAAAAGCGTGCGAGCAAGCTTTGCTTGCGTGGCCTCCGGTGCGAACGCAAGCATCCCACCCCCCGTTTACCACCGCTTGCTTTGCAAGCAAGCGAAGCAAACGATGTGAGGCACCTTTAGGTTCTTGCTACGCAAGCAAAATACCCGAGCAAGCTTGCGAAGGACGCGAAGTGTGCGAGCGAGCTTCGCTCGCGAAGGACGCGAAGTGTGCGAGCGAGCTTCGCTCGCGAAGGACGCGAAGTGTGCGAGCGAGCGAAGCTCGCGAAGGACGCGTACCAAGAAGCATAGCGTTTCGCACATATCAAGCTCTTGTAGCGAAGCTTAATCTTAGTGCATGCAAAGCCGTACGCGAAACACAAAAACTTGTGTTATTATGATTATGTTATGCGCGAAAGACAAATTAAAGCACATAATAATGCACATAATAAATAATATTTCGCAGAAAATTGGCAGCAAAATTTACTTAACGAGAAAAAAGGCTAAGTAACATAACGGTAATGTATTGGATTGCAAATCCTAGAATGATGGTTCGACTCCATTCTTAGCCTATAAAAAAAAATTAGTAGAAAAACAAAAAGAAGAAAGCAAGCAAAATACTCAACTTTGTTGGTAAGTGTTCTAAGGATAGGTTCATTAGAATCGTACCTAAAGAAACCTCATTTCTGCGAAAGCTCAGGCGCAAAGCGCGCAAGCTTTGTTTCTAACGAACCTTTTCTTCGAACCCTGTCGTTCTTACAAACTTACGGCGCCGAAGGCGGCGCGGTAAGCCCTACATTTTGCTACCTCGGGGATTTCGCTTGCGTAGCAAGAACCTAAAGGCGCCTTACATGGTTCGCTTCGCGCGAAGCACCGAAGGTTCCGTTAAGCGCGATAGCGTGTGAGCAAGCAACATTTGATTTGTGCGAAACAAAACGAGCGCATTATAAAGCAAGTTTCTTCGCTAAAAATATACCTTAAGGTTCGAAGATTCTAACAACCCTATAGGCGCGAAGCCTGCGAACCTAAGCTTTGCAAACCCGAAGAATGCGCTCGTTCTAGCGGGTTTGCAAAACAAAACTTGCGCTCGTTCTAGCGAATCTTCCTGCCTAAAGGAAGCTTTATTTCTTTTTAACTTTTTGTTTCGCAAGCTTTGCTTGCTCACACGCTATCGCGCGTGCTTTTCTGTTTAGAAGTGGATTTGAACCACTGACACAAGGATTTTCAGTCCTTTGCTCTAACCAACTGAGCTACCTAAACAAAATTCAATTGAAATATATTATGTATCTTTACAAACTATTGATTATGCAAAAATTGCTAAAAGCGAAGGCCCATATGGGCTTTTGTTCTACCTATTCTGATACTCAACCTTACATCTACGGCTTTCGAAATAAAATAGCTATTATAGATCTAGAAAAAACACTTATTTGTTTGCGAAGAGCTTGTAACGTCATTGATTTGATTATAAAATCCAAAGGACATTTACTTTTTGTGAATACTAATTCAGATTATAATAAAATTATTCAACAAACAGCGCTGCTAGCAAATCAAAGTTATATTAACCATAAGTGGATTGGTGGCTTTTTAACTAATTGGAATCACATGCAAAATGTATTACAACACTATCTTCTAAACTCAATTATGGCATCACATGCTTTGCGGCTCTTCCCAAAAAATAGCGGAAAGCAAGTCAGAATCATGTTGGATAATCCTATAACTCCTTCAGAATCAAATAATAAAGCAGCTTTTTCAACCAGACCTCGTTTTAAAAAGATGCAGAAATGTTTTGAAGGTCTACAAAAAGGTCATACAGCTTTACCTGATTGTGTTATTCTATTTAATGCAAACCAGAATTCTATAGCTATCCATGAGGCGAGTCTAAAGCAAATACCTATAATTTCGATAGTAGACTCAAATCTTTCTAATCAAAACCATAATTTGATTACATATCCTATACCAGCTAATCAAAACTCTGTACATTTTATTTATATAGTTTGTAACTCTTTTTTGAAAACTATATTGCATTCGCAGCGTAAACTAAAAGTGCTCAGCAAGTAAGAAGTTGAGAAAGCAAAAGATTCGATGCGAAGCTTTTTTAAGAACAATAAAGCAATTTTATGTATTTTGAAATTTTACGCCCCTTTTTTTTTATGTTAGCTTCTTTTCGTGTCTACCCCTATGTCTTAAGTATAACCTATTTCTTTTTAGCGATTGCTCTTTATTTAAGTACTTGGGTGGCTCCTTCGGATTTTCAACAAGGAGAAAATTATCGAATTATTTATGTTCATGTACCGGCAGCTTGGATGAGTATTTTGGTTTATATCATTATAAGTTTCACAAGTTTTCTTTTTCTAGTAACAAAACATCCTATATTCAACTTGTTTTCACAAATAGGTGCTAAATTAGGCATCTTATGGACTTTGCTTACCTTACTCACTGGCTGCTTTTGGGGCAAGCCCATGTGGGGAACTTTTTGGGTGTGGGATGCTCGATTAACTTCTGTCTTAATACTCCTATTTATTTATTTAGGTGCTTTGCGATTCAATGAAATATCTGCAGAAATCGGATCTATTTTTATTTGTATCGGTTGTTTAAATATACCTATTATTAAGTTTTCTGTTAATTGGTGGAATACTTTGCATCAACCCTCAAGTATCAGTCAATTTGGAACATCTATCCACATATCTATGCTTCTTCCTATTCTATTCATGTTTTTAACATTTTTATTGCTTGCCTTTGTCTTGCTACTTATAGAAACACGTCAATTTATTCTTAAATCTTATAGTCTTTCTTTAAGACGTGATCAAAGAGCGAACAGAAACATATGCAGCACCGAAGCTGCGCACGTTAGCGAAGAAAAACGAACTCCATAAAGGAAAGGTAGGTCCTTAAGGCACCTTTCTTGCGAAGGCGCCTTCGCGCAAATTAAATGTCGCTCGCTCGTCCAACCGTGGTTTGCTTCGCTTGCGCTCGTCCAACCGTGATTTGCTTCGCTTGCTTCGTCGCAAGCAACATTTTATTTGTGCGAAACAAAATCAAATGTTGCTTGCTCATTCTGACGAACCTACGGAACCTTCGGTGCGAGCGTAAGCGAAGCAACCCCGCAGACTCTAACAACCCTAAAGGCACGAAGCACGGGGGGATGTTTCGCGCTCGCACCGGAGGCCACGCTTGCTCTTTCTCTTTCTATTAAGCGGACACCTAAAGGTGCCTTTACAACGGCCCTTCGCTTGCTTGCCGGTCCTTCGGACCCCGTTTTTCGGGTTTGCTTCGCTTGCGTCTCCATATTGCCTAATCGCAACCTTTACTTTAGGAGCGCACCCCTTCGCTTGCTTTGCAAGCTCGTCCTTACGGACCTTCGCGCAAATTAAATGTCGCTCGCTCGTCCAACCGGACCATCGCTTGCTTCGCCGGTCTAAACGCACCGCCTAGGACTGCTTGCTTTTGGTTCTTTAGAGGCGCGATTAGAACACTTTACGAGAGAGCTTCAGTGCTGTGACCTTCTCTAGTTGTATTGCAACTTCTCTAAAGCAAAAGCTTTAATTTAAAGAAAAAAATAGATTATGTACACGGAATGTTGTCATTACTTATTATTGCTTGCTTTATTTACATCCACATTTCTCCTACTTTATCCCAATCGCTGCGTGATTGCATCACGTTTACTGCACAAAAATTTATTTTGGATAATTTCTCTTTCTTTTTTCCTTCTTACAAGTAACTTATTCGGTACTATTACAAGTTATGCTTCCTCAGATTTTTCCTTTTATAATATTTTAACTAATAGTTCGGCGCATTATAATGCGCCGAACCCGATATTTTTTAAAATATCAGCAACTTGGTCTAATCATGAAGGAAGTCTTTTGTTATGGTGTTGGCTTCTAGCTTTTTATGGCTTTTTATTTTGTATTATAACACGTTCTTCGTGTCGTCCTTGGATAAGTTCTAAGCATTCTATAGACACAGATCACTTGATAATAACAGCTTTTGAAGATCCAGCCCGCTCTAGTCTAGTTGAAGAAAAAAGAAAGCTTCCAAGATCTTTCTTTAGCAAGTAAATTTGCGCACCCATTATTTGATTTGAGCTGATAAATAAAATTCTCTTGAATTTCAAAGGCTCGTTAGAGTCGCAAGCAAAGCTTGCGCCTATGACTTAGATTCACACGTGTTAAAATGCGCAGCATATTGCCTTTTTTGTTCAGCTGAACAAAAAAGGCAATATGCTTGTTCTAACGAGTGCGTTTAGCACCGTCAGAGCGAGCAAGCTCGCGACGGAAAGCGCGGAGCGGTTGCGAACCAAAAAAGTACTTGCTTTGCAAGTGTTCTGCGGGTTTGCTTCGCTTACGCTCGCACCGAAGGTTCCGTAGGTTCGTCAGAATGAGCAAGCAACATTTGTGCGAAACAAAACCAGCTTGCGACGAAGCAAGCGATGGTCCGGTTGGACGAGCGCAAGCGAAGCAAACCACGGTTGGACGAGCGAGCGACATTTAATTTGCGCGAAGGCGCCTTTAGGCTCTTTTAAGAGTGGGCAAGATCCGTTATTCGAACCTTTGGGCTCTAACGATTCTGCGAAACTTGGAGGCCCGCACGTTCCGCGCGTTTAGCACAGTATCGCGGTATGCTTCGCTTGCCTTCTGACGAACCTTGTTTGTAGGTCTGCTATGAGGTTCGTCAGAGCAAGCAACCGACATTATATATTATTATTAGGCGACGGAAACATCGGCGACGCTTCGCGCCTACAAGTAGCGCAAGCGAAGCATACCGCTTCGCTTGTTTACTAAAAGTTGCCAAAGCAATTTAGGAAAGCTTTTTTGAACTAAAAAAGACAAAAATTATGCATGATTTGAATTTAGCTTGGTATCTTTTATGTACAAATCGTTACCAACTGAAGTTAGAACAAAAACGACGAGTAATTTCCAACGGTATCTTTATTTATAGTGCGATAATACTGTTTTTTTCTACTTTTTTAATAAGCACGTCTAATCCCTTTCTAAAGGTACCTTTTCCTTGTCTGAACTCTCTTGCTGAGCTTAATCCTGTATTACAAGATCCAGTATTAGCCATACATCCTCCTTGTATTTACGCTGGATATGTAGCCAGTGCCATTTGTTTTAGTCTTTCTTTATCCTTAATCAATTATGATATAAAAAGCTTTGATAACCAAGGCGCGAAGCGTAGGATCCTTAGGCTAACTACAAAAGACTCTGATTCGTCTTGCTATGTAAGAGAAGAAGCTCTAGAAAGTAGAAAGTTAAAAGCAAAGCAATCTTTAAATCATGAGAAGATTATAGGCGTGAGCGAAGCAAGACAGCTTCAATTTTGGATTTTAGCTTGTTGGTCTTTTTTAACTGTAGGTATTCTCCTTGGTAGTTGGTGGGCTTACCATGAGCTTGGTTGGGGAGGGTGGTGGTTTTGGGATCCTGTAGAAAACGCTTCATTAATGCCTTGGTTATTGGCCACTGCGTGTATTCACATGAAAAAAGTGCGATCCAAAAATCTCTTCTTCGTACTCCTTCTTTCAACCTTTATTCTTAGTATTTTAGGTACTTTTTTTGTGCGATCAGGATTATTAGCTTCTGTTCATAGTTTTGCTACAGATTCAACAAGAGCTATCTATCTTTTGCTTTTTTTATTATCTATTATTCTAATATCTGTTATAAAATTTTATCAATTCCAAAAGAAGCAAAAGCAAGTAATCTTAAAAAGCCAACTAGAACAAATCTTATATTTACAAAACTTATTTTTTAGTAGTTTTTGTATTGTAGTTCTTTGTGGAACTTCAGCACCTTTACTTTTTCAATGGTTTTGGGGTCAAGATCTTTCTACGGGAGCACCTTTTTATAATGGTACACTAATTCCACTATTTACCAGTGTATTTTTAGTTTTAGTTATTACGCATTATACTCAATTAAGATTCACATCAAAGATCCAGTTGATTCAAAAAGACAACCAAAACTTCTGGCGAACCTTGGACAATACAATCAAAACAATACTGGGGCTTTTTAGAAGAAAGCGAATAAACAAAGAAATTAAAGAGCAAAGATGCTTCGGGCATACAAACCGCTTGCAAAGCAAGTTCCTTTCTGCGAGGTTTGTTTCGCTTTCGCCGGTGAGAAAGGCACCGCCTAAAGGATTTCTTCTTTTTTCTATATGCTTATCTTCTATTCTTCATATTATTTGTCTAAATTTTCTAGATTTTTCTTTTTTAGAATCGCTTTATGGGACAATATGTATTCTATTAATTTCTAATTTCATTTTATCAAAAAAGAATATATTCTTACTAAGTGCCAACAAGTTATTAAAATTTAAACCAAGCCGTGTCCTCACAGACCTTACTTTTGCTCGAAAGAAAAGTTTATCGATGAGGATAGGCCATACCGGGATTGTTTTTTTTATTGCGGGTATTCTTTTATCAAACGCCTTTAAAATACAAATTACTCAACGTTTGCATTCTGGATCAAGGATTCGTTTAGGACCTCAAATTTGTTGTTTAAGAGGCATTGACCATGCTTATGCGCCCACATATCATTCTATTTGTGGTAACCTTGTAGTTTACCAACAAGGTAAGTACGGGCTACCCAATACCGACAATAAGGTCAACCAAACGAATCTTTGCATGTTTCCAGAAAAAAGATTTTTTTTTTCAAATCAAGAGTTAACTACAACAAAGGTAGCGATACACACAAATATGCTTACAGACTATTATGGCTTAATTGGCACAGGTAGTCTGGAAACTGGTTGGTACACTACTATTATGAAATTGCCCTTTATATTTTGTATATGGTTAGGCTTCTCCCTTGCAACAATAGGTGGCGTGCTTGGTCTCAAGAGACAGCTTGAAAGGTCTAAGCTAAAATGGACTTAAAACTGTAGAATCACGCAAAGAAAAACCTTTTACTTTAAACAGCTTAGATTCTAAATAAATAGGTGAGCGCTAAGCCTACGCAAGCATATCTTTCTATTTTCGACGCTTCGCGCCTATTTTCGATTTGAGTTAGTAATCTCCGGCTTAAGCCTGTGTAGATTACCCTGTTTTTTTTTAATTAAAGAGTACACTTATGTGCAAAGCTTTTCTAGTAGAGTCATTTAATTCAGTCAACACTGTATCTACTTAAGCACTCTCTCAGAAAAACAAAGTGGGCTTGGATGAGTCTTGCTGTTCAGGCAAACCCAAGCTAGATATCTTGAATCTGAAAAAAGTGTAGGGTCGCATTTATGCGACATACCACGCCAATTGGTCCGCCAACTGATGGTATGTTCGCTTGCTGCGCAACCTCACTTGCGCCGTAGGCGCAGAGCGTGCGAGCGTAAGCTCGCGATATGCTTCGCAAGTTCTTCCAATCTTTATTTTGTTTCGCAAGCTGTGCTTGCTCACACCGGAGGCCACGGGGCATTCTATTCTGTTTGCAAAGCTTACGCTACTTTCTGCAAAATCTTCTTCAAAAACGAGCGCAAGCCAAGTTGTAACGGTCTTTCAGACCCCATTGCGCAAGGTTTCCTTGACGAAACAAAAGCAAGCGAACGAAAGCAAAAAGCTTGCAAAAGCAAAAAAGCAAGCGATGCGCAAAGCGTGCGACCTTGCATCATTCATTATTGAGCGCCTAATACTAGAATGTCCGCCGAGCTTGCGAAGAAAAAAGCAAGCGATGGCGCAAAGCGTGCGAGCGCAAGCGAAGCAAACCACGGTTGGACGAGCGCAAGCGAAGCAAACCGCGAAGTGTGCGAGCGAGCGACATTTAATTTGCGCGAAGGAAGGCGGCGCAAACTAATGCGCCGTAGAAAACACATACAGCTTGCGATATTCTTAATTATGATGGTGCGAAAGACATTCGCTTCGCAAGCGAAATGCTGCGCACGTTAAAGAAGGATCCCTAGCCTAGATCATCACACGCTTTTTGATCCATGAAAAAATAGACCAAGAACTTTCTTTCTGGAGACGACAAGCATTCGAGGCACAAAGTACTTGCAGTGACTACCTTTTAGTTCGGTTAGGTAGCGACCTGGAGTAAAAGGATTCGAACCTTTGAATGTCGGTATCAAAAACCGATGCCTTGCCACTTGGCTATACTCCAACTAAAGCCAATAATGAATAGCCAATTGTTGCTCGATCTTTCATTAAAAACAAATCAACTTTCTTCGAGGTCTTATTAGGAAGCTTGCGTTTTTATGAGCGAAGCCTACCGCTAGCTTGCGCCCGTCCTAGCGAACCTAAAGGTTCCGTAAGGAATGGACTTGTTTTTTTTACTTTATCTCGACAAAGAAAGTAAAACGCTGTGTTCCTAAAGGCTGCTTTGGCAAGCTTTAGTTTGCTTGTAGGTTTCCCACAAGGAACCTTTTCGTTTTTAAGATTTAAGAAAAAATCTACATACTCTTTCCAACGATTAGATACCTAACCTAATAAGAAAATATTCAATACAAAAAAAGAAAGTAAACTTTCGATCTTTGCTCTACACTCGATTTCTTTGGAGCTGACAATGGGACTCGAACCCGCAACCGGCTGATTACAAATCAGCTGCTCTACCTATTGAGCTATGTCAGCCTTAGCAAAAGATAAGTTTGATGCTTTTCCCTTGGGGTTAGGGGGGCGCAGGACCTGCGCACCACCGTAGTGCCTGAACCTGAAACGTCGCTTTGTGTCAATAAAAGAAGCTTTCTTTCGCGAAGCGTTTCATGTCCGTAGGTGCGAAGTAAATAAAATGTCCGTGTCCTCCGGCATAAAAATGAAGAAAAAGGTGTTAACCCGACGAGCTTTTTAAATCAAAACTTTTTTTTCTCGAAAAGAATGTTCTTTTTTCTCGAAAAGAATGTTCTAAGAAATCACATGCAACAAACAACCAGCAACAATTCTAAATTATGAACAATTCCTTAATTGACAATTCTATGCTTACGACGAAGGTTTAGTTTAAAAATAATTAGATGCTCTAGTCTTAGCCAGATTTTGTATTATTTTACGCAAGCAAGTTAGATTTAGTCATACGATTACAATAATATGCCATTGTAGAACCAATATCTCGACGATATGCGCCTAAAGGTCCGCCAGGAGCTTGCAAAGAAAAGAGCAAGCTCGTTTTGTTTCGCAAGCAAAGCAAGCTCGTTTTGTTTCGCAAGCAAAGCAAGCTCATTCTGACGAACCTACGGAACCTTCGGTGCTTCGCGTACGGAACGGTGCGCAAGCGAAGCAAACCACGTTAGGGCAAGCAACCTTTGCAAGCGAAGGTCCGTTAGAATTGGTCTCCTTCGGAGACCTAACCTTTTTCCTAAAGGTTCGTAAGAAAAGCAGTTCGCTCGCTTTGCTTCGCTTGCAAAGCCGCAGCGCTCCGCGCCTTGCTTAAAAGAAAAGCGTTCTTCGAACCTTTCGGGCCCGTAGGACCTAACTTGCTTTGCAAGCTTCGGATCTTGCTCACTTTAGATCTCCCTGACATGAAAACAGATGAATAAACATGCTAAAAGAACCTAAAAGTAAAACAAAGCTCAATTTAACTTAAAGTGCGGATAACGGGAATCGAACCCATATCCTCTGCTTGGAAGGCAGACAATTTACCTTTAATCTATATCCGCCTTTAAACAAATCCAAGGCGCAACGACGAGCTTTTGAAAAAGCAGACTATGGTCATTTACAAAGTTTACTCTTGATCATAAGTTTATAATATTGAGAACTTCGTTTTCTTCAAAACTTCGCGAATGTTTCACACCATAATAATGCAAGTGCTTCGGATCTTTCGAAAGCAAAGTGCTCCGTTCTTCGAACCTTTTGCTAGAAATTCGCATGCGAATTTGTGAAGTGCTTTTCTGCTTTAATCTTTCGCCTTAAAAAAAGCAAGCAATTTCTGCAATTTCTTCGAAACCTGACTAATATACAGTAAATCTATAGTTTAGAAAATCTATAAATTAGAAAAAAGAGCAGACACTCTCGTTTTACGGATGGATCTTTCTTTATATATAATATATAAGCGGCTAGAGGGACTTGAACCCACAAAGTAAAAAACTGCCACATCCTAAGTGTGGTGCGTTTACCAATTTCGCCATAGCCGCAAAGGGAAAGCCTTGCCTGAACGGAAACCTTTAGGTTCGTAAGAAGGCAAGCAAAGCTTGCTCTGACGAACCTAAAGACCTACAAGTAACTCTTAAAAGAGCCTCGGAAGCGCAGAAAAAAAACATGCGGAGCATTGAGCAAGCAACATTGGATTGCTCAATGCTCCGCATGCTTCGTTTGAACGAACCATAAGTTTTGCGCTTGCCTTAGTGCGAAGCATGTGAGCTTGCTTTTGTTATGACACGAAACATACATAGCAAGCAAAGCTTGCGAAATGCTCCGCACGTAGAAAAAAAAAGGCGCGAAGCACTTGGTTGGCAAGCGAAACATTTTATTTGTAGGTGTAGCAGGAATCGAACCTGCGACCATTAGGTTAAAAGCCCAAAGCTCTGCCAACTGAGCTATACACCCTGCAGCACTCCTTGCTAAAGGAAGCTAGAACCAAACACCGCAAAGGTTGCGATGGGGTTTAGCACCGGCTTCCCTTAAAGAAAGGTAGGTTCGTTAGAACAAGCAAGCGAAGCTTCCGAAGGAGCGGAGACTTGAGATTGTTTCCTACCATAATAAAGTGTTTCGCATCTTTCGCACCATACGTCTGGCACCTTTAGGTGTTGAAGTTCGTTAGAAAAAGCGAACATGCCTGCAGAAATTAAGGTTCGTTAGAACAAGCGACACATGCCTGCACAAAATTGCTCCGCAAGCGCCTAATAAAGAATTAATCAATACCCCGATAGAATCTACGAGGCTCCGTCGCCTACGCTGGCTTTGCAAGCTTGCACGCTTCGCGGCCATTGCGACGGAGACAAGCTTTGCTTGCTCACACCGGAGGCC